AAAAAGCAAAACCCAATCAGAAAACGCCACGTGGAGTAGTAGATTTGAATTAGTTGGTCGTCCCGCAAACTTTCCGAATCTCACCGCTACTACCGGTCAAGGGGCTAATATCACCCATCTTGATCATCGCCGCCGTGAAATCAGAGTTAAAGCTTCTCGGATTGGTGCTGTATCCACGGACAATGGAGTCGGTGGAACCGCCGTTGAAGAGCTCTTGGTCAGAATGGAGGAGACCTTTCTGAGTCATGAGGTTCTTGAAGTAGTTGTTGTCGAAAGAAGCCGGCGTAGCGACATCGAGTGGAGCTAGGTTTCCGTCACCGGAGCCGGTGGCTCTAGGGCAAGTTCGTTGTCGTGTGGTGGCGAAAGCGGCGTTAATGTTTGTCTCGTTGTAGATTCTTGGTCGGAAGGTCCTGCAAGCGGCTTGTCCAATCGTGTGCGCGCCTGAAAAAATATTATTGAAGTTTGTTTAATAGTTGACTCAATTAGTTGTTAATTAAGTTTCATTCGATTACTTTGTCGGTGTTGCGTAACAGTAGTTTATAATATGATTACTCTAATTAGCACCCCAAAAAAAGTAAAATATGATTACGTAACTTTGGGAAAGAAACAGAAAAAGACGATGTGGTGCGTTACGAAAATGTGTTGAAAAACAAACAAAAAGAAACAAAAAAGTGACGACAAAAATTAAACACATAATCAAATTAATTTATTTTGTGTCGAATTTGTTGACTCGTAGTCGTCCTTTGAAATATATATTGTCGTTATTCTTTTTTTTTGTTTTTTGGTAAAATTTATTGGTGAAAGAAAAAAACGTTAAGCAATAGCGAAAATAATGCTTTTGACACTATACTAATTTTAGCAATGTAAATAGTTATTTTCAAAAATTGCAATCAATCTTAATCTATGTCTATGAAACAAATAGTTGCATATAATTATATATTTTTAGAATGATAAAGATGAGAAATGAAACGTACCGGAGAGAGCAACCATATCTCTGGTGGAGAGACCAACGGCACTGAAACTACTAATAAGTTGGCTCAGGCTCGAAGTCGGCGGTGGAATGTTACTATTCGCGGCGGCTTGGCTCGCGGTTCTTGCATCTCTTCTTCCTACTTTCACATTCCAATTCGGTCCTCCAAGCTTCAACACAAAACAAAGGCTAATATTTTAGACCCGGTTTGATCGTTGAAATTTGCAAAACCGGACTAAATAAGAGATGATATAGGGGGCTTACGGCTACGACAGAGTCTCTAGCTGCAATAGCTAGGATATCAGCACAAGACACAACCCCGGGACATGCTTTCTCAACAGCTGATTTGATGTTGTCAATCACATTAAACCCACGAGCAGAATTGCGGTTTGGAGCCGCGTTCTGTTCTCCCGTGAAGCTCGATGTATCATCTAGTAGAATCGAACCGTCACATCCCTACACATACATAGTTGTGATCATGATTAGAAGAAAAGAAAAAGAAAGATAACCCTTTTGCTAAGTTTCTTGGGATGCAAGGAACTATATGTTAAAAAAAAAATGTGAAAAAGACTTACGTTGACGAAGCAATCGTGGAAGAAGAGACGGAGGATAGATGCACCCATTCGAGCCTCACTCTTAACGGCAGATCTAACGGCGGATTGGACGGTGGAGAGAACATTAGGGCAAGAGGTTGAGTAGAAATTGGTCGTGAGTTGTGCTTCGACGACGTTATTGTTGTTACCTTGAAGTAAAAGTGTAAAGAAAATAACCAAAGTGGCGGCAATAACTTGATTGGAAGCCATGTTAGGTAAAAGGAAGACTTGGAGTTGATTTGTGCTTGAAGAACAAAGTATAACGGAATCGAGGTTTATATAGAGACGTGAAGGATGTTTTAAAGTGAAAGATAGGTGACCTAACGCGTTGAAAAATGTGTAAGGTTTCTGTTATTTATTTTATTTGTAGGGTTTTGATAATCATTTTTTGCATGGACTATCTACGTCCAAAGAGAAATTAAAAACAAAATTTGTCAGTGATAATATTATTTCCCTTACCTCAAGTAAATAGTATAGCCATCAAAATTAAGTCGAAGATAATGCATGGGGTTAAAAAATAAAATAGATAGTAGTTTTATGCTTTGGTCGTGATAAGCGTGACACTATCTAATTCTAAATGTATATATATGTACATAACGAGCTTGCCTAATATTGAAAATTTTATTAGTAGAAACAGAAATAATTTACAGTAGAGATGGATAAATGAGAGAGATTCTATGTATAGTAGATTCACAACTGGTTGTATGAGATTGTGTAGAAAATTCCTTCAAACAGGCAAACAGCTAGCGCTTTATGATATATTACTATATTTGTTTTTTCATTTGTATCGTTGTAATGGTTTGAAAAC